TAAGAATTGTTGGCCAATGAGAATTCATAAAAATTGGAATGTTTTAGCTACCCACAGCAAAGCAAGCCAAGCTACAAATTACTTAAAAATAGTTAGATAAAACCAAAAAAATTACTCTTTTTTTCTCCATCAAAGTTAAAAGAAAGATACTCCATACTGACTTATTTTACTTTGCTTCAGCAGGCTTCTTCCTTTTTGTTTAACAATAATAAAGTCCCCAGATCCTCAAAAAAGAAATAACAAGCTGTGACTAAAGAGAGCCTCCTTAACTTAATAAAGATAATAATCCCTAAAAGTGATTAAGAAATGAAAGGAACAATTTATTGTTCATCTGAAAAATAAATTCCAAAACAGCTGTTTTTTTCAACAAAGAAGTGATTGTTGAACAGTTGAACAGCTCACCACATACTTCAAAGCACAACTCCTGAAGCTACTGTGCAGATCATTGCTGTATGAGGGATCTTGTGGGGTGATTCCAGTGGCGGGATTCAGCCAGTTCGCACCAGTTTGGCAGAACCGGTAGCTAATTTTTTGTTACCCAGGCCCAGAATGGACTTCCGGAAGCGGCATCCACACAGAGAACCGGTTGATCACATATTTGAATCCCACCACTGGGTGATTCTAGGACTCTCCCTAACCCAAGAGAGTCATAAAAGCTAAAAGAATGCTGTCTCCTTCTGTTAGTAAGTTGAAAAATGACAGTCCCGAGAAAACCCCTTCAGGGAACCCCAAGGAGCCCTCCATGAGCTTTTCGTCAGTCAGTCATCTTCACCAGAAATCCTTCTGGATTCACAACTATTCCCCAAAGAATAGGTGGCAGTTGTGGCTTGGTGGGCCTTTGCAGCACTTTTCTATGCCAGCTGTATTCATTCCTGAATTATTCATGCCCTAATTACCTCCCAAATGGACTATTATAATGCACTTGCCATTGAAGAACATCCAGAAGCTTCCACTAGTACCAATACAGAAGCATTGGCATTAATGCCCTACACAGATAGGCTCAGGTCATCTGAGGGAGTTCCTCTCCCTAGTTACATTTACCTGTCCCATCAAGCCTAGCAGACTTGTTCCAAGTCTCGTCTGCTAAAGAGTTCCATCTGATGGGACCCAGGAGGCAGGCCTTTTCTGCCATGGACCCCACCTTTTGGAACAACATTCTCCCCAAGGTGGGATTGCCTCTGAACCTACAGACATTTATGAAAGCCCTGAAAACATTTTCAGTGTTCTATCGAGAGCATGTCTGAGATAGGGGCTATATTAATCTGATCAATGAATGAATCTGATAAATAAATTACTAGAAGCAGAATCCTCACAACGGGTGGGCAGTGAGCTTGGGATGCCAAAAATGGTAGTTTGTTGCAGTTATGATTTCCCTGGCAGTTGAACATGATGAGACTGGTGGCTGTGAATTGGCTAGGGAGTGATCAGAAAGGTGTTGGGGGAAGCAGTAGAGCTAGTGGCTTGATTGAGACTCTGCTGAAGACTTCTTGTCTTCTGTGTTGCCCAACCCACTCTCAACCCTCAAGCCAGGGCTGGTGTTTTGTCTGGATGGGTTAAAACAGTTGGCTATTTGTGGGTGAGGACCTATCCTACTTTGAACACATTATGTGACGCATCAGATCTCTAGAGAAAACTCTAAAGGTGGAAGAATGGAGAAGAAGAGGATAACCAGGAACAAGACAGATCGACTCAGTTACTGTGAAATGGGCATACTGTTAGAACAGGTTTTTTCAACCTTTTCACCAATTGTACCACTTTTAGGATATGGCAATATTCGAGTACCACCAGTAGCCTAGCAAGGTGTCAAAAACTTGATGACCAAAAAAGAAGGAAAAAAGTGATAAAGTACAGGTAGTCCTCGACTTACAACAGTTCGCTTAGTGACTGTTCAAAGTTACAATAGCACTGAAAAAAATGACTTATGACCATTTTTCACACTTATGATCCTTGCAGCATCCCTAGGGTCAATCTACATTTGGATGCTTGGTAACTGATTCATGTTTATGATGGTCACAATGTCCCAGGATCATGTGATCCCCTTTTGCAACCTTCTGACAAACAAAGTAATGGAAAAACCAGATTCATTCCTCCTTTTATATCGTCTCTTCTCTACTCCCTCTTTTATATCCTCTCTTCTCTCCCCCTTCTTTTATATCCTCTCTTCTTTCCCTTTTTAATATTCTCTCTTCTTTCTCCCCTTTTATATCCTCTTCTCTCCCCTCCTTCTTTTATATTCTCTCTTTTCTTCCCCTTCTTATATCTTCTTCTCTTCTCCCTTGTTTTATATCCTCTCTTCTCTTCCGTTCTTTTATATCCTCTCCTCTCTTTTATATCCTCTCTTCTCTCCCTCCTTCTTTTATATCCTTTCTCTCCCTCCTTTTATATCCTTTCTTCTCTTCCCCTTCTTATATCCTCTCTTCTCCCTTCTTTTATATCCTCTCTTGTATTCCCTTCTTTTATATTCTCTCCTCTCCCCCCTTTTATATCCTCTCTTTTCTCCCCCTTCTTTTATATCCTTTCTCTCCCTCCTTCTTTTATATCCTTTCTTCTCTTCTTTTCTTTTATATCTTCTCTTCCCTTCTTTTATAGCCTCTCCTCTCTCCCCCTTTTCTCTTCCATGCACCTCCAGCTGATTACTTTCAAGGCTGCGCTTCTCCATCTCTCTTTTGCAGTCCCCTTCTCTTCCCCTCGTTGTCTTTTTTTTCTCCCTCTCCCACCAAAACCTTCTCTTTTTATAGCCTCTCCTCTCCCCCCCCCCGCTCCTTTTCTTTTCCGTGTGCACTGGAAGTGCTGATCCTGGGGCTTCTGTCTCGTCTCTGCAACCCTGTAGAAGCGTGCTGATCCTGGGCTTCTGTCCAGCCCCCATAGCCCTGCAGAAGTGCTGATCAGCTGTAGCTGTGTTGCAGCCATCCTGGGCTTCTGCCCAGTCCCGACAGCCTTGCAGCTCCAGCTGTCTCTCCCTCAGGCTTGTGCAGTGCTGCCGCCACTTCAGCTCATTCCCCTCCCCTGCTACACTTGTCTAGGATGGTCATGTACCACCAACCAGGTGCCAAAGTACCACTGGTGGCACGCGTACCACCAGTTGAAAAGCTCTGTGTTAGAAGACCTTAAGAATGAAGTTACGAGCAGATCATCATGGAGATGGTCTATCTGTGTTGTTCCTACAGTTGACAATGACTTGATGGCACATCACCATCAATATTATTGAAGGCTCTCAGAGGTATTGTTTATCAGATAACTGGATGTGAGAATCTCTGGCTGAAGTTGGGCATTAGAGAACAGATGAGATAGCTATTATTTCACTGCTTTCTGCTTGAGGTGCTGGATTCCATTGAAGGGCTGGCAATGAATATCTCAGGGCCTTTAATTTGCCACCAGGCAACGTTGAGTCTGGGGTAGCTCAGGAGATTCTGATCTCTCTGGTAATCATGAAGTTATCTTAAAATTAAGAGGGCCTGGTGCATACCATTGGTCAGATATTAGATACAATTTCTGTGTCAGGACAATTGTGATGTGATCTGGTATTGGTGGATCTTATTACCAATCTTTTGCTGTGGATAGATTGCTCTCTGATTATCTTCCAGCTTGTTGGTGTTATGTGGGAAGGTAGAGTATATAACATTGGCTCCACCCAGTGGACCTATGAACCCAACTGGGTTACAGAGGAAGCTTGGAGTTCCCCTGAGGATATAGTGGGAAAATTAAGAAAAATCTTGACTGGTAGAAGCCTGGAGTAGGAGTATTAGACAGGCCTTGGATGTAATTTTTCTTCTCCGTCTGCATTGATTCTGGGGTGCAGCTTGATTTTCTGAGGAACTTCAGGAGATGAAGTACTAAAAGGCAGATTTAAAGCATCATTGTGGGAACAAAGGGCAAATCTGATCACAAATGCTAAAACCTGATATACAGAACTACATCATGGTGATAAGAGTGGCAAAATGCCATTATTTCTCTGTCCTTATTGATAAAGTCATTCAGATGTGCTTAGAGTTGGATTTTGACTGGGGAGGTCAAAGTGAAATACTTAAGGTTTTATCTTATGCAGTTATCTAGACTGAGTTTGAGCTTGTGATTCCTGGTGAAGTGAACAAAATCCTATGAACTGTGAGTTTAACTATCTCTTTATTAGATTCAGATCCCTCATGAATGGTTAAGGCAATCTGGGAGGTAACCTGCAATTAGGTCCATGCAATGGTGTACCCTCTTTACAAGATGAGATAATCCCTCTAGCCTTGGAGGAGACAGTGAAGTGCCTGGTCCTCCAAAGGCCATTGCTAGACACAATTGTTTGGATAGTTATTGCCCTTTCTCCAATCTTCTCTTTCCTGTAAAGAGTATAGATAAGGTGGTCAGACAACAGTTGCAAAGATTCTTGAAAAGAAACTCACTTTATTGGCATTAAGGCCAGGGGTAGGGTATGGAGACAGCACTAACCCTATTACATGATGACATTTGACAGAAGCAAGATGGAGGTAGTGTGTCCACCCTTGTCCTTCTTCCTCTCTCAGCAGGTTCTGAGAGCCTTTTGTTTTAGTCCAGTATTCTATTTGTCTGAAATGCAAAGTTTGGGAGTGGATTCCACCACACTGCAGGCTATCCTCCTTCCTCTATGGTTGTTTCAGCAAACATTTGGCCCTTATGGGTGGTTATACCATGGGGTAGCTAAAATGTCATCATATGACTTCTTAGATTTTGTTGTACTCTACAAAGCATGGAATCAAAATGCACTACCCAAAGCAAATAATTAGGGCTCACTACAAGATTTATTAGCCACTAAGTACTCACCTCCAAAAGGATAGTGAGAGACATACCTCTACAAATGAAGAGATGGGCTCATATTTATAAATTCCCCCCCAAAATGGAAAGTGTTAGTTTTTATGTTCTTTGTAAAACTTTTAATAAAAATTCATTTCAAAAAAGAAAAAGGACATTTTTAAAAAGTCACCATATTCCAAACATGCCGCAAAGACAAATATAAATGTGGCCTATCCCTGCATTAGTTAGAGATTCTTGTTTCTTATCATGTTTTCTCTACAATTCAGATCAGGTCTCAGTAGAATAATGTAACATTTGGGGGAAAAAATACAAGCCAAAAGAGCACCTCCAGAGGCCAAGATGGAGAAGATCTCCACGGCTACCATGGACTTCCCTTTGGTGCTGAGGTAGGTGGGGAGGAAGCTGATCCAAACGCTGCAAAAGACCAGCATGCTAAAAGTAATGAACTTGGCTTCATTAAAACTGTCAGGTAATTTTCTAGCCAGAAATGCCACTGTGAAACTGACAAGGGCCAAAAACCCTAGGTAGACAAGAACAGTGTAAAACATTAAAGCTGAGCCTTCCTTACATTCCAGGATAATCTCTCCAAACAAGGAGTGGAAGTCCAAGCTGGGAACTGGGGGAGAGATCACCAGCCAAGTGGCACAAAGAAGTGCTTGGATGAGTGGACAGCCCAAGACAATGGAGTTGGTGAGTGGTTTTCCTAACAATTTTCTTGACTTGTTCCCTGGCTTGGTGGCCATGAAGGCCAGAACCACAATGACAGTCTTTGCCAAGACAGTAGAAACTGCAAGGGAAAAGAGAATGGCAAAGGCAGATTGTTGTAAAAGACAGGTGATCTTCCTTGGTTGACCAATGAAGAAGAAGGAGCAGAGGAAGCAGAGCAGGAGGGAGATCAAGAGGATGTAGGTGAGATCTCGGTTGTTGGCCTTGACGATTGGTGTGTCATGATGTTTATAGAAAATCACCAGGACTGCAGACGTGGTCATACAGAGAAAAAGTATGAGTGAAACTAAACTGTATCCCAGGGTCTCTTGATAGGCAAGGAAGTGGATTTTCTTGGCAATGCATTGATCGTTGTCCTTGTTGGGATATTGGTCTTCTGGGCAGGGTTCACAGTGAGCTGCATCTGAAATCAAGAGTCTTTCATAAATTAAATCTGTTGGACTCAGAAAAAGTGGCAGGGCAGATAAAGAGAGCAAAACAGAACTTTTTTGAAAATGCCAATAAACCAGGAAGATGGTTAGCTTATAAACTTAAAAAACAGAAAGAGAAGAAGAAAACAATACATAAACTATTAGATGGGAAAGGTCATCTGCAATATAAAAATGAAGAAATAAAAAAGATAATCAAAGAATAGTATAAGGAACTGTATGATAAGGAGGAAACCTCAAGAGAGAGAATTGTAAAATATCTGGAAGAAAATAATCTTCCAAAAATTTCAGAGACATTCACAACTATGCTAGATGAGTCACAATGACGAAAATATCAAAGGCCATAAAAAGACAAAAAAATGGGGAAACACCGGGTCCAGATGGGCTTCCGGCGGAGTTATATAAGAGTCTCCAAGAGACACTAAGTGAACCGCTGAAAGATGTTTGTAATGGACTTTTATTAGAAGCTAGACTCCCATTTACATGGATGGAAGCAAATATTACTCTAATACCCAAAGAAGATTCCGATTTGATCCAGATCAACAACTACAGACCGATTTCACTGCTCAATGTGGATTATAAAATTTTTACTTCAATAATGGCTGAGAGACTGAAAAAATACTTAGCTGAATTTATACATCCAGATCAAAATGGCATCTTACCAAAGAGACAGCTTAAAAACAATTTAAGAGTGATAATAGACGTATTAGAATATTATGAGTTATATCCAGGGAAACAATTGGCACTAATATTCTTAGATGCCCAAAAGGCATTTGATAATGTCTCTTGGCAATTTATGATTCAGCAACTACAAATAATGGATTTTGGACAGAATTTCATAAACATGATAAAAACAATATACAATAAACAGACAGCCAAAGTGATGGTGAATGGAGATTGTACTGAGAGCTTTGAGATAAAAAAAGGCACAAGGCAAGGATGCCCATTATCCCCCCTGTTATTCATCTTCACTTTGGAAGTCTTAAACAGAAATATTAGACAAGATATAGAAATTAAAGGGCTGGGGATAAAAGGTGAAATATATAAATTACAAGCATTTGCTGATGATTTAGTATTTATTTTGGAAGAACCTCTGGAGATGATTACTAAATTGTGGGGAAAGATAGAACAGTATGGAGAAATGGCGGGATTAAAAATAAATAGAGAAAAAACTGCCTTGGTACAATGCCTTGGTAAGGCCACACTTGGAATACTGCATCCAGTTTTGGTCACCACGATGTAAAAAAGATGCTGAGACTCTAGAAAGAGTACAGAGAAGAGCAACAAAGATTATTAGGGGACTGGAGGCTAAAACATATGAGGAAAGGTTGCTGGAATTGGGTATGTCTAGTTTAATGAAGAGAAGGACGAGGGGGGACATGATAGCAGTGTTCCAATATCTCAGGGGCTGCCACAAAGAAGAGGGAGTCAAGCTATTCTCCAAAGCACCTGAGGGCAGGACAAGAAGCAATGGATGGAAACTAATCAAGGAGAGAAGCAACCTAGAACTAAGGAGAAACTTCCTGACAGTTAGAACAATTAACCAACGGAACAACCTGCCTCCAGAAGCGGTGAATGCTCCAACACTGGAAGTTTTTAAGAAGAGACTGGACAGCCATCTATCCGAAATGGTGTACGGTTTCCTGCCTGAGCGGGACTCGATGACCTCCAAGGTCCCTTCCAACTTTATTATTATTATTATTATTATTATTATTATTATTATTATTATTATTATTATTATTATTATTATTATTATTATTACTACTACTACTACTACTACTACTACTACTACTACTACTACTACTACTACTACTACCTAAGGTAATAGTTAAGAATCTTACAGATAAGCAAAAAAAAAGAATGTCAGAAACAATAGAGGTACAGATAGTGAAAAAGGTTAAATATTTGGGTATATATCTATTGGCCAAATGCTCCATAATAAAAGAAGATAACTATATAAGGCTTCTGAAACAAATAAAATTAGATTTGGGAAAGTGGAAGAATTTGCAATTGTCAATGCTAGGAAGAATTGCTACAGTCAAAATAAATATATTGCCGAATATTTTATTTTTATTTCAAACAATTCCAATAAAACTTCTTTCAAGATTTAAATTCATTAATTTTGAAGTTTGTTTGGCAAGGAAAGAAAGCTAGAATAAAGATGAAAACACTACAAGATGCTAAGGAAAATGGAGGTTTTGGGTTACCTGAGTGGGCTTTGTATTATCAAGCATCTGTATTAACATGGGTGAAGGAATGGATAACTCTTAGAAACAAAAGGTTGTTATATTTGGAGGAACATGATTTACAATTGGGGTGGCACGCTTTTTTGTGGTATGGGAAAAATAACATTCATAAGTATTTCCAAAATCACTATATAAGACATGCTTTGTTAACAGTATGGGAAAAAATTAAAACTAAAATATATGTTTGTTTGTTTGTTTGTTTAAATTTCTACCCCGCCCTTCTCCAAACGGACTCAGGGCGGCTTACAGCCATTTAAAACAAGTACATAATACAAAAATACTAAATTTAAAATGTAATTAAAATAGAATATTAATTATTGGCCTTTTCTCGGAGATAACCAGGTCCGATGCCATGGAGCGCTTTAAAGATGATAATCAACACCTTGAAGCGCACCCGGAAGGCCACCGGCAGCCAGTGCAGCTCGCGCAACAGCGGCGTTACATGGGAGCGATGAGTCACTCCCATCACCGCCCGCGCGGCTGCATTCTGGACTAACTGGAGCCTCCGAATGCTCCTCAAGGGGAGCCCCATGTAGAGAGCATTACAGTAGTCCAGGCGGGAGGTGACAAGAGCATGGGTGACTGTGCGCAAGGCGTCCCAGTCCAGAAAAGGCCGCAACTGGTAAACCAGGCGTACCCGGTAAAACGCCCCCCTGGCCACGGCCGTCAACTGGTCTTCTAGTGTCAGCCGTGGATCCAGGAGGACACCCAGATTGCGTACCCTCTCCGAGGGAGCCAAAGTTTCGCCCCCTATAGTCAGCGACGGAGTCAGCTGACTATGCCGGGAGGCCGGCAACCACAGCCACTCAGTCTTGGAAGGGTTGNGCCTGGGGTGGAAATGTACAGCTGAGTATCATCAGCGTACTGATGGAAATCCACCCCAAAGCCACGGATGATCTCACCCAGCGGCTTCACATAAATATTGAACAGTAGGGGGGAGAGGACCGACCCTTGTGGCACCCCACAAGTTAGGGGCCTTGGGGTCGACCTCTGTCCCCCCGCCAATACAGACTGCGTACGGTCGATGAGGAAGGAGGAGAACCACCGCATAACGGTGCCTCCCACTCCCAACTCCACCAGGCGCCGCAGCATGATACCGTGGTCCACAGTATCAAAAGCAGCTGAGAGGTCCAAAAGAACTAGGACAGAGGAATAACCCCTGTCCCGGGCCCTCCAGAGATCATTCACCAGTGTGACCAATGCCGTTTCCATGCTGTATCCCGGCCTGAAGCCCAACTGGAGCGGGTCCAGATAGACTGTTTCCTCCAGGCGCCAGGGGAATTGCTGCGCAACCACACTCTCAACAACCTTCGCCACAAAGCGAAGGTTGGAGACCGGGCGATAATTAGCTAATACATCTGGGTCCAGGGAAGGCTTCTTAAGGAGGGGTCTCACCACCGCCTCCTTCAAGGCTACGGGGAAGACACCCTCCCGTAGAGAAGCATTTATAATTCCCTGGAGCCAGGCTCGTGTACCCTCCCGGGCAGCCAGAACTAGCCAGGAGGGGCACGGATCCAGTAAACATGTGGTTGCATTCAGCCTCCCCAGGATCCTGTCCACGTTCTCGGGAGCCACAGAGTCAAACTCCTCCCATATAACAGTCTCAAGATCTGCTCCCGTCTCCTCCCCCGGGGCCACCCAGTCAGAGTCAAGGCCTTCTCAAATCCGAGCTACTTTGTCATACAGATATTGGGCAAAGTCCTCAGCCCTCCCCTCCAGGGGATCCTCCCCCCCCTCAACTGAAGGAGAGAGCGGGTCACCCTGAAGAGGGTGGCCGGGCAATTATCTGATGACGCAATGAGGGTGGAGTAGTAATTAGACCTCGCCACCCTCATCGCCACTAGGTAGGATCTAACCTGCATGTAAAAATTCCAGGGTGGCTATCAATGATGGAAGCCTTTTTACATCCAAACTTGGTAGATTTTGAAAAAATATGGGCATATAGAGATATTCTAAATACTGATGGGACTTTAAGATCGAGACAAGAACTGGAAAATCAGGGGATCAACCTGTCGTGATGCAAAATAGGAAAAAGACGTGAAATTGTAAGGGTTTTATACAGAACAAACTGTATTTGATAAGATATTGTTAACTTCTGATGAGAAATTAATTAAGGAAAAGTATAATTTTTTGTTAATTTTGGAGATGGAAAGTGAACAAGTTAAAGAAACAATGATAAGGTGGGCGGAAAACTTTGATTATAACATAGAACTAGAAAAATGGCAAAAATTATGGGAGAGAAACTATAAATTGACAATGTCACCTTCGTATAAAGAAAATTTATATAAAATGTTTTATAGATGGCACTTGCCACCAGCAAGATTAGCAAAAATGTTTAAAAGTATGTCAGATAGATGTTGGAAATGTAAACATAACTCAGGCACGTATTATCATATTTGGTGGACATGTGGTAAAGCAAAGGCTTATTGGAAAAAAGATACATGTTTGGTTAGAAAAAATGTTGGGAGAACATGTGGAATTTAAACCTGAACTTTTTCTACTAGGTATGATGCCAGAAAAGACTAATAAACAAAGTTTATATTTGGCTTTACACGTCATAACAGCAGCAAGAATAGTCTTCGCGCAATATTGGAAAAATGAAGCAGTACCACCAGAGGAAGAAGTAATTAAACAAATATTGGAATGCGCAGAGATGGACAGATTAACTATGAGATTGAAAGATAAAGAAAAAACAAAATACTACCCAAATCTGGGAGTTATTCTACAAA